TCAGCTAAGTAACTGTCCCTCCTGTTCCTAACCAGATTTTCCTCTTGTCATACTTACTGTGGCCCACCCTACCCCTGGGGGTCATGATTTGAAGAATTTAGAATCACACTACCTCTGGAAACTTCCACATAAGTTTCATCTCTTCTGGTCTACTGATTCTTGAGAATATGTCTTAATGACCCCACACTATTTTTGTTTCTTCTTGATTTTCTCCCCTTATAATGGGGCTTGGCCTTTAATTTTAACAATTAAAACTCACCCAAGAATGCTTTGTAATAAGTTTGTTTAAAATTGGCCCAGTGGTTCTTGAGAAGAAGCTGAAAATGTGGAAAGGTTACAGACGGACGGACAAACAGCTAAACAAACGGATGGACAAACAGCTAAACATACGGATGGACAAACGGACGGATGACAGACAAGAGGTGTTCAGCTTAGGTAAGCTTATAAAAAATTATTGGTTGCTAAAAAAGTCCTCTTCTTAAGAACCACTGGGAAGATTATCACCAAACTTTAATTATATGCTAACATGAAGGAAAATATATTGTTGATGAAAAATTGTTTAAGGTATCACCCTGGGGCATTATTTTATTGCCCAATATAATGACTGGAATTAAGATTTTTTTTCAGTTCATGAATCTTAGGACCTCATGTCAAGTTGACTCAAAAGTAGGTCATGATCACCTTTTTTTTTTAATTTTGCAGGTATTCATCTTTCATTTGATTTTGATGCATATCTCGGGCACTTTGAAGCCTTTAATCGTCAAAACCTATCAGTTGATGCATCAGGTGGCTTTAAAATGTGTCAACGAAAAAGTAGAAAATTAAGTCACCGTGACCTACTTTCTGACTTTTACGGCTTATCATTTTCAAAAAAAATAATGTCATTATTTTAGATACCGATAGGTTTAGACTCATTAAACCTTGTTAGTTGATGCATTTGAATGTTTCTGGTATTTATTTTCAAATCATTTTAGGTCGCCCGCGTGGCGCAGTGGTTAGAGCGTTCGCTCTAGGGTCACTGAGTAAGGAGTTGATCCTTACATCGCGGGTTCAAGTCCCACTGCGGGACGTGGAGACTGGTCCTTCGGATGAGACCGTATAAACCAAGGTCCCGTGTCGCAGTAGGTGCTGGCACGAAAAAGATCCCTCACTGCTCGATGGCCCTGAGTGCAGAGTATAGATCAAAATTTACAGCTCTCCACTGGCAAGTGGTGGCCTCTCCATATGAGTGAAAAATTCTCGAGAGGGACGTTAAACAATAAACAAACAAACAAACAAATCATTTTAGAGGCATATTTTGGACACTGTGAAACATAGAATCATCAAACATTGTCAGTTGATGCATCCTCGGAAGGTATCAACTAAAAGGTAGATCAACGTGACCTACTTTTAGAATTTCTTGACGATATTTACATATTTCAGAGACCAATTGGCTTAGATTCTGTTAGATACTGTTCGTTATCTCCATATATTTCATTCCTCAAACTTTGTCAGGTTATGCATCTTTAGTCCTCAGGATGTGTCAAAAAAAGGAGGTCACTTGTAGTTTTAAGGGAATATCTAAATATTTGAAATAGTAAAAGGCTAATAATCATCAATTTTCTCATTTTATGCATTTTGGGATCACGGACTATGTTAACCAAAAAGTAGGTCACAGTGACTTAATTTTGGAATTTCACAGCTATATCTAAATATTTCTGATAATAAGAGGCTTAGAGTCATCAAACTTTGTCAGTTAAAGCATCTTGGGTCCTCAAAATTTGTGAACAAAAAATGGGTAACAATGACCCAGCTTTAGACTTTTAAGGCAATATCTTAATATTTCAAATTATAAGAGGCTTACAATCATTAAATTCACAGAGTTGTTATCCAAAAAGTAGGTCACAGAGCTACTTTTGGGATTTCAAGGATTTACCTAAATATATGAGATACTAAGAAGCTTAGAATAGAAGTGATACAGTTGTAAAATTTATCAGGAGAGTGATTCTGGCCCTTGGGTCTCTTGTTAAATAGCCATTTCATTGATCCGTTACAGGGTTATTCTCAGATGACTGTTAAAGCCCTCTTGTATAATTTTGTTGCTATAAATAGAATAGAAATCCCCAATGATTTTGTGTATTTCAATTATAAATAGAACTGGAAATCCTCATTGTTGTTATGCTTGTCAGTAAATGGTAACTAGTATATGTACTTGTCAGTCACATTATGTTTTCACCATTCAGTTAGTCTGCAAATTTTCCATCCATGATATCTCAAAAGGTGCAAATTTACAGCATCTATTTTTAGACAATTATTGCTAACAAAGAGCCTACCTTCAATAATACATGTTTGTATGTGGACATTTTTTTATTTTACCTCATATACTAAGACGTATCTTAGTTTTTATTTTTTGTGCTATAAATAGAAATGGGAATCCCCTTGAAACATTTTGCATTTCAGTCACTGGTTTCTAATACTTGTCAGTCACATTATATTTATAATAGAGAGTATTCAAAATTTCAATCCATAATGTCTAAAATTGTGCAAGAATGTTTATTTTCTAAATAACTCATTGCATCTATTTTTAGACAACTGTTGCTATAAAAAGAAAAGGTATTCCATCTTCAATGTTTTTTAATTATTAATTGCTCAAATGTTCTTGTTCATGACATATTGTAGACAGCAGAATATTTTGTAAATACTTTTTCAATGAAGCTTACAACTGGTGGAAAACTGTCATTTTTCCTCATATGCTGAAATGTTTCTATTTATGGATGTTTGGTACTATAAATAGAAAAGAGAATCCCCTTCAGATAGTGAGTATTTCAATAAATGGTTCCTAGTACTTGTCAGTCACACTATGTTTATAAGAGTTAGTCTGCTTTTTTTCCATCCGACATTACCTGAAAAAGTGCAAGAATCTACATTTTCTCGATTATTTGAGGAATCTATTTTTAGACCATTGTTGCTATAATAGGAAACAAGAGTCGACCCTCAATATTGTATCAATTATTCTACAAACACTTGTTCTTTTTGAAGGCATATTGTAGAAAGCTTTATATTTGTTAACACTTTTTCTATAAAGCTTCCAATTAGCATAAAACTGTCATTTTTCCTAATATTCAGAGACATATCTATATTTAGGTGCTTGATACTATAAATAGAAATGGGAATACCCCTCAACCATTGTCCACTCCACCTAGGGGTGTCCAGCTACTGTCATTAACACCTTAAAATTTACAATATACTTCCTATTTATCCAGCAGTGACATCTAAAACTTTGCCAAAATGTGATTTTTTACATTTTTCTAAAATCTATCTATTTATAGATACATGTTACTAAAAATAGGATTAAAAGCCCACCGATATTTTTTCATGAGATGACACTACTAATTGTCAAATATAAAAACACACATAAGTTTTGGAAATTTTCCACGGACAATTTTTCTTATATAGCCTTAAAGATCTTAAAAAATACTAATTTTCCCATTTTCAAATTTTCAGAAACCATGTCAGTTTGCATGACCCAGGGTTCTCACTAGGATTTTGCTAACTTGAGTCCCAGGACTCAAGGTTTCTGAGAAGGTTGCGTCCCAGCTAAATTTGATGCGTCCCAGAAAAATTATGTTGAGTCCCAACTAAATTATTGCAGTATCCTTCCATCCAAACATCAATAAAAATCTTTATCATTTTATCAGTTTGTTTACGCAGTATTAACATATTCAAGTATATAAACTGGTAATGCATTCAAGCTATATTCTAAAATACACGCGTAATCAATTGCCATAAAAATAACTTGGTGTTTATAAAGCTAAAAAATCAAGTACCCAGAAGTTGACTGTATACAATCACAGGTGTCATGTGCAATGAGGCGTAACTAATCCTGTCGGTCGTCTGCACTGGGTGAAATTCACGAGGTAATCAAGCCGCATTGTGTATACAAGCAGTAATTATGGTTTCTACATGTAGATAACACTCAAGATTCAAAAGTGTTTTTAAAAAAAAGCTGCAGTGTGTTTACAGCTGTTGGAGTTTGGCATGCGACACTATTATGACTATGGACTAATAAACATGAAATATCTTATGATCAATCCCTGTTTTAAAAGAAAAAGAGAAGTAAGTATAAGAAAAGTTGTTTCTTGGATAAACTTTATGATAGTTACAGGAAGGTTTCGATTAAATATTTCTTTGACAAATCCTAACATCTAAATTCCCCGTTTTCGAAATCACCCGAATTTTCTCGCTAACAAGGACGCGTCCGATCACGAGTCCGCGGACGCATCGTTTTTAAGAACCTTGCGTCCCAAGTAATTTTACTGCGTCTAGGACGCAGATTCTTGCGTTAATGAGAACCCTGATGACCTTTTTCTTAGAATGGGAATACTTTTAGAATAAATGATTATTTGCCCTGTGTACCTTAAAAGTTCATGTTATCATATGATCCAATGATTTTTGTTAGAGTATATTAGATACCGATAAATATTTGTTTACATTTCCTCGATTTTCATGTTTTCACTTGGTCAAAATGGGCCAAAAATGGCCAAATTCAATGGATCAGTTTCCATGGCAAGTTATTGGCAACTGGATGCACGTGTGGATGCACGTGTGGAACTTCCAACACCATATTTGCTAGTTTTGTACCAAGATACACCTGTGATGCAAATTTCATCAAAATCCGAGACATGTCGTTTCCAAGATTTTTTGGTGCTTACAGAGAATGCGTGTTAAGAATACTTCCTATATATTCACATGTATAACTTAGACTTCCTGTTGTGGCCCACTTAAGTCCTCTACCCCCCCCTTCCCCCATCCCACCACTAGCCTTTGACTCAGGTGAGCTAAAAATAAATCAAAATAATGCACTGTTTGACTTCATCTAATTTGTATGTTAAGCTTGAATGTATACTTCATGCAAATACATCAGAGGTAAGTAAAGATACGATTTTATATTTATATTTATTTTGGTAACCCCCCTCTTTTTCATTAACGTAGACCTCTCATGCCAATGTAAATATACTTACCCCATCTGATCCATCTATGGAGGAGTAATTAGGAAATCCAGGACCTCCATATTCTTCCATACTACACAACACTGGTTCACCCTGGTTATACAACCAATCTGGATTACCTCCATCTGGTATCACCTCGGTTTCAACATCTACAAAATATAGTTGAAATTCGGTATCACAAACACTAATATCTCAAATACCAGGGATATGTTGAAGTGAATTGGGAAGTCCCAACCACTTTTTCTCAAATGTATTTCAACCTTGATATCTTAAATCCCTAGATATCTTAAAAAAAACATGAAGAGTCTGTTCAAATGAAAGATATTTAAAAAAAAACATATGAAAAGGACAACAGGTTTGAAATCAGGTTGTCATGCTACCTAATGTCAAGAAATTTCAAGTGGTTGCTCTGTGCATCTTATGACCCCAATGGCCCAGATTAAAATTCATTTTATTGTATATTTTCAAAATTTTGCAAATGCACCTGATTTTTTGCATATTTATGAATATAAGATAAAAATTTAATGAAACATATGTCAATCTTCATCAATGTTCATACATTCACAATAAATGTCCCATAAATCATTGTGTCTGCATAACAGTCCTCATACCTATATATCCATGCAAACTGAAGTACAAATATGCAAGTTTGCACAACCATAAAACTTTAAGAATATTTTTTTTCTAGACAGACAGAAAAACAAAGGGATGGACAGTTATACAATCCAAACATTCAAACCCCATTATCTCAAACTTGATGGGACCAATAAAAAACTTCAAGACATCTGAGAGTATATCAAGGGTAAAATACTTGAAGAAGTGGTTGGGACTTCCAAATCACTTCAACATATCCATGGTATTCAAGAAATTGGTGTATGAGATACTGAAGTTTAACTGTAATTCTTGATAAATGAATATATACTGACTCTGTAGCTGCTGTGCTTGCTGCCTTTGTTGCTCCTGTTGCTGCTTGTGCAAAGTTTGAGCTGCTTTTAGCAACGACTCAATTTGATTGGTGGCCATATCATCCCCCTTTGCATCCCGTAGCTGTTGAAGTTGATGTTCAAAATTCTCTAAATCTGGATTGGGTTGTCCCAGTGACTGGGATTTTGGAACAAATGGCTTGTTACATGGCTGTTTGACATGCTCTTTCATCTCTTCAAGGGTGTTGAAGACAGATTTACAAATGAGACAGTTGAGAGGGTTTTCTTTCTTCTGTCGTTTTTTGCTTGTCCCAGCTTTTGCTGCATGCTTTAAATGACAAGAGTTTGAAAATTGTAACTACTGAAAATACTATTATTAACAATCTTTGATTTTTACTCTTTATAGCTTTGATTTCAATCAGGTTTATTTACAATTTCCAAAAAAACCTGTGTTTGCTCTTCTTTGAACTTGTGTTTTTTGTTTTAGTAAATCATTTTATATGTACACAATATACACACAATGAAAAATATACATTCTAAATAAAAATCACTAGCCTGAAAGCTTCAATGGCATCAAACATGAAAAATAATTTCTAAAGTTATTTTTGAATTTGATATAAACATGATAAAATTTTAATTTTAATTTTAAAATAAAACAAAATTTGACAATTACAGTTTGGGGTCCTTTTTACTGAGAAATTAGCAAAAGTTGAAGAACAAGAAAATAAAGCTGCACAGTAATCGGGAATATAATTACACTTACAAAACATCTTATATGACTGAATCTACTACATGTTCATATACTAACAAACCATCTTTCCATGGGCCTTTAAAGTCACCTGTTTCTGCTTTTAATCTACTTTTTTGTAAAACTTGAGCACAATATCAAAGGCCCTTGGTCAAAATTTTGAAGGTCTGTGGAAATCTGAATTTACACTGCATTGGGATCATTCAAATTTGTAGTCCTAATCTCTGGATGATTAAAAAATCTTTTATATTACAGTTAAGTAGACAATGACTCCTCCCGTCCCTAAAATTCACTAAAATAGATTCGAAAAAATTCAGAACATAATTATAATTTTTGTGCAGTTTGACAATTTGTAGCCTGAGTTTCTGGAAAAAGAATACTAAATTTTACATCTACTTGCTAGACCATTTTATGGCATGGCTCTACCTTAGGACCCTTAATTTAAATGAGTCAAAATATTTGATACACATGATACATGGGGATCCTTGTATGGTGTATGTTTAATTTGATAATTTGTAACCTTGTAGTTCTGAAGACAAATATTTTACAGATTAAAATATAATTCTGAAAGTAAAAAAAAAAATGTTTAGGGGCATGGCATGAATCGAACAACTACATAGCAATGTTTGCATGCATATATACTTACAAAATGAAAGTTCATATTTACCTCTGCAGGGTATTCCCTTTTGCTTGTACCATTTGGTGATGGCGATACATCTTTGCTTTTTGGTGGAGCTTCTTTTTTGCAGCTCTTACTATGACGCCATCTTTGAATAGGGTCATAGAACTTGGCCATGCAATGGCGACATGTAAAGATCTGTTTCTCTGTATTGCTGAGATTATGGCAAGGGTGTTCTGACATGATGCCTAGTTTCTGTAATGTGTAGTTAAGTCCCTTAAATAATAACATGAATAAAATTCTTTTGCACTGAAAAATCCCACTAAAGGTTAAAAAAAAATGTACAAAATCTTCAATATTTTATTGTCAAAAAGGCAAGGTAATAAAATTTCATTATGTTCTCATCTTTGTGATCAGCTTTAGCGGATCACTGTTGATTCCATGTGAGGTAGATCTATATATATACGGCAAGTGTAACCATTTGAGCACACAACATGACAGACTACTTTTGTTTACTATGCACCGACTGCTTCATGCAAATCTATCATAAAATGTTAAGTACTTAGAAGCTTTTCTATTTAATTCATTTACTTTGAGAAACAAATGTTTATATAGTCACATGGTGAATAAACTTTTCTTTGTATGTGCAAGAATTTCATTAACTCTCAAAAAGGAAGTATTCCATTTCCATTTAGAGTGAAGTTTGATTATTTCTTATTGCTGTTTTAAGTAAGTCAAACTCATACATTGGTTCATTCATTTATTAGGTAAACTTTTATTGACTGTTCTATACATTCTGTGCCATTACATAGGCCACAAGCTTGACATCTGAATATTACACTTTCCGATCACTTCCTTTAAAAGGAATGCCAACAGTTTCTCTTTTCAATTCCTTAGAATTGTGAATATCTTAGAAAAATATAAATGAATATATGTCTTCTACATTGAAGGCTGTATGACATAAAAGAATTGCATTCAGTGAAAGCAAACATCACATGGGTTTGACTTCCAGAGAGTCATTTACTCACAGGTATGGCTAAGGTGCCAATTTATCAATATTGTTTTATTAGGCTCTGGATTATCTTCAAATATCAAGTGCATCTAAGGACTCATTTTGGTTGTTATAATGTATGTGTTATAATGTATGATTTATTATTCTATTTTTTTATTAAAGTTTTTCTCTCTGACCACTCTTTCCAATGCACCCCAAACCATCTAACAGTGATCTAAAAGACACATATCAATCAAACGTACATCTCTTACAATTTCGGAAAGTAATTGCACTAAAATTGGACACACAATATGATAATGACAGAAAAAAATAAACTACACAAAAATATACATTGATCCCTACAATTACTTCCTAATTCCTTTAAGGCTGTAATTAAATGCTCCTAAATAAAATTTTGTATTTTTTAAAACAATCATTTGGTCTTCTTCATGAAGGTTGGATACCCTGACAATGAAGGTTTTTTTTATTTGGTTCATGACCATGAACCATAATTCCATGAACCAAAGAAATGAAATTTTTAGTTTTCTTGACTACTTAAATTTAGGGAGTTGTCTGCTTCTGTATATAATTGTATTTTAATGCAGTCAGCAGTGACAGGTGCCCGGGGCAGTCTTATACTTCATAAAACATATATTTCTCAAAAATCACTCAAAGCCTAAAATCGGACAAGTTTTTAAGTTAAACTATAAACTGAAAACATGAGTTGTCAATCAAATTACTTAAATATGGCCAAAATTGATGCAATTGTTAATGGACACCAAGTTGCCGATGTAAAAATTTAGAGTTACTCCCCTTGATATATGGGTAGATGTTAATATTTTGCAAATCAAAGCGCTAAACATGGAAATAAAAAATCCCCATATGCAATGATAGGTTTTAGCCACTGTTCTTCACTATAAAATATACTCACTCTTATGTTTTCCAACCCATTGGGCAAGACTTCTCGTTCACACCAAATCTAACTCTCGGAACGCTTCTGTATTGTTCTCCAAATCCGGGAAGATTCCTGAGGCATAGATGGCGCTGTTTTTTAACGTGTGCCATTTATCTTTTAAAATGCAGTAAAATATATATTTTTTAAGGAATTGCGTTTATAGAATACTATGTAATTCTCTTTATGTGTATTTTTAAAAATAAATAATAAGATTATATCTTCAATTTTTCGACACTACAAATGTGTGCAAAGAACGACAACTCTTTATATTTACAGTGGTGGATCATACATTTGTACACCGAATTTGTGATCTTTGTTCCTCTAACAATTTAGGAGACGAATTCCATTATCTTTTAGAATGTGCTTTTTTTCAAAAGAGAACAAAAAAACTTGTTCCAAATATTTTTTATGCTAACCCTAATGTTATCAAATTCCATGACCTGTCAGGGGCGTCCCCAAGTATTTGACATTGGGGAGGCGAACTGGATCGAAAAGAGGGGGGGGGGGGGGGTCCTAACCAACTTTTGTGAAATACATGTAAACTAAGTAATTAAAGTTTCCGCCAATATCTTAATATTTTCCCATTACGTCAATAGCCTGGAGGTATTTTCTGATAAATAAAGAACAATTAACTGATTAAACATGCAACCAAAAAATTTTTATGTGTTTCAAGTTACATATACTATAAATAAAACGAAACCAAAATATTTTTAAATAACTAGGAGCTAGTTTTTTTTTCCCGAAACAGCATAGAAAGAACTTTGAAGGGTTTATGACGAGGTAAAGATTAAAATACATATAATTTTCTATTATTGTATAATATTTATTGTTATTTGCCGAAAGAATGCATAATTATGAAATTTAAAATGAATAGGTTGATTAATCCTTCACAATCCCTCCATTTTTAAAATGCAGAATTAAATATGAAAAACAGTATGACATCATAAAAAATCAACTGAAGTTGTTTTAAATATATAGTAATTTTTACCCAGTACTTTAGTATCTTGCTCTAATTTAATAGCTTATAACTTCGATTCATCAAAGATTTACAAACATCGATCGACCAATTCATTAGACAACGAAGAGGCCAGTTATACGCTGGGGAAGGTGTGAGGAAGGGGGGGGGGGTCCAATATTTGCCCAATTTCTCAGCTTTTTCTGAGAATAGTTTTTTTGCTTAAGTTTCGATATGTAAAAACATAATTCATTTAGACGCTGCTTCCCCCCCCCCTTTCATCAAACTTTTTGGTGGTGTTAGGTCAAACTCGGGCAAATTCCAGCATTTGGGAGAAAAAAAATCCGGAAACTTAGAGAATCCCCAACCGGCCCCCCAAAAATATAATTTCCAAAACGTTGCTAGCCGTGGGCCTGATGAAGAATTTGTAGCAAACTTGCACGTGGAGTGATGGATATCATGCTTGTTTACACATACCAGGTACACTGTCAGGTATATATATACACGTACAGTACATCCCAATTTGCGTCTGTCACACTTTGCCGCTCCATTGACCTCAGATTGCCGTTATTCTTGATGCTCCCTTGACCAAAGATATTGCCATTACAAATTTTGTAGTTCTGTATATCGTATTTAAAATTCTTTTTTTTTTTTTTAAATTATTGGGGCGGCGATCGCCGCCCCTGCCGCCCCTTTTCCGACGCCCCTGCCTGTTAAATTGTCAGGAAGCTATATATAAAGTCATTTTTGGACTTCCCAAATTTTGCAAAATTTTATTGTCAGTAATAAATTTAATGATAACTACTGTTTAAAATATGTTGTAATACATATAGATTTATTTAATACTAACAGAGGCCTTCTATACTTTGATGTTTTGAACATGTTGAATTATACATGTATATAATTAACAGTGCCACTCATTCATGCATTCATGCTTGTATGTTATTTTGTTGTATCATTTGTATTCATATACCCAAGTTGGGGTCTTTGTCTTAAATAACAAGCATTCTGAGAGTATTGCATTAGCAATACTAGTCCCCTACCGGCAAGTGTAATCTGGTTCCGTTCCCGTTAAGAATTGAAAATGCCATAATTCCGTCAAAAATTAATGAAGCAAGACAAAATGCAAACTTGATCTATAACTAATCAAGGTAAAGCCACATACCAAAAATCAGCTCAATATCTACAAGCGTTTAGAAGAAAATTGCGGAAAACCCTTAAAAATTGAAAAGGCCGTAATTCCGTCAAAAATCAATGAAGCGGAACGAAATGCAAACTTGATCTGTAACTCATCAAGATACACTCACATACCAAAAATCAGCTCAATATCTGCAAGCGTTTAGGAAAAAAGTGCGGAAAACCAAGTGGGACAGACTGACAGACAGACAGAGGGACAGACGGACAGACAGACAGACAGACGGACGGACAGACGGACGGACAGACTCAGAGGAAACCTATAGTCCCCTCCGGTTTCACCGGTAGGGGACTAAAAACTTGAAACTTGTACATAAGCAGAGGAAAAATTATACTGTTGTGTTCTAGATCTATTGTACACCTTTTTGAATAGGCAAACTGCATATCCAGTATATTATGGCATGTCAAACGTTGCAATATTCGATCTTTTCCTTTTGCATTGTATAATTTTCCATATGTATTGTATAATTTTCCATTTGTATTGTATAATTTTCCATTTGTATCCTATAATTTTTCATTTGTATTCTTTAATTCTCCATTCGTATTGTATAATTTTTTTTATTTGTATTGTAAAATTTTTATTTGTATTGTATAATTTTCCATTTGTATTGCAAAGGCACAACATATAAGAATTATTTGTTCATACATTTAAACAATATTCTAGAATGTGAAGATATTCATAAATCATACAATCATTTGTACAAAAATTATGTAATATAATCTAGATATATGACATTTTTTAAATAAATGAGTGTGTTATTTTCAGTATTTCAGGTCATTGGCTATTAAAGCAAAGCTTAACTTTTTTAGTATAAGACATATTTGATGTTTTCCCTTGATAAAAATTCAACAAGTTCCTTTCAAAAGTTAACCCATGATTATTGTATTTTTGGCAGCTGAATAGAAAATGAAACTCATCTTCAATCTCTCCTATGTTGCAAATATTACAAAATCTTTTATCTGTGGGTATAGACAAATGTCACCCCTTTTCTATGGCAAGATAATGTGCACTAAGTCTCAACCTGCTAATAATTAGTCCCCTACCGGTGAAACCGGAGGAGACTATAGGTTTCCTCTGAGTCTGTCCGTCCGTCTGTCCGTCCGTCCGTCTGTCTGTCTGTCTGTCCGTCTGTCTGTCTGTCTGTCCCTCTGTCTGTCTGTCAGTCTGTCCCACTTGGTTTTCCGCACCTTTTTCCTAAACGCTTGGAGATATGAGCTGATTTTTGGTATGTGAGTGTATCTTGATGAGTTACAGATCAAGTTTGCATTTCGTTCCGCTTCATTGAATTTTGACGGAATTACGGCCTTTTCAATTTTTAGGGGTTTTCCGCAATTTTCTTCTTAACGCTTTCAGATATTGAGCTGATTTTTGGTATGTGACTTAACTTTGATTAGTTATAGATCAAGTTTGCATTTTGTCCCGCTTCATTGATTTTTGACGGAATTATGGCATTTTCAATTCTTAACGGGAACCAGATTACACTTGCCGGTAGGGGACTAGTATTGCTAATGCAATACTCTCAGAATGCTTGTTTATCTAGCTCTGTTCTCTTTTTTTTAGCCTAATATATCGGTGTATCCACAGCGTTTAAAATTATCAAAAACAATTTGGTAATATTTTAGTTCTGGTGAATTATGAATCTTTGCATATTTCTTTTGTAAGCATTGATCTGATATTCTTTGCTTTATGCTTCTCAGAAGTGATTTTATTGAATTCTCTTTTTTATTAATGAATGAAAATCCTAACTTGCTGAAAATTGAAAAAAGTATTTTTAGTCCAAGAGTTTGTTTGGACTGTTGCTTTATAGATTTTATATATGCTAAAGTATTCTTGGAAGTAATAAGATGGTTCTAAAATTTTATATGTATTATTTATATTAAATCACGCACCAGTTAGATTCATATTAAACAATTGTTAATTATCATGGCCTGACTGCACAAGCACAGACAATCAGTTTTTGTTTATAATTACGCACACAGAGAGCTAGAGGTCTCAAATAAAATTTTCAAGAAATTTTCTTCTGAAGTAGAGAATAAGGAGTATTTATATTATTAGTGAGTTTGTATTTGACAATTGCTTTACGGGGGGGGGGGGGGGGTATATATATATATATATATATATATATATATATATATATATATATATATATATATATATATATATATATATATATATATATATATATATATGGTTTTCTTGGGGTGAAAATTTTCAATGTTATACACTCAACTACATGCAATATTTATATAATATCGGCTGCGCCTCAGTTGACAATGGTTTTTCTTGGGGCGAAAATTTTCATTGTTACACTCAACTACATGCAATATTTGTTATATTATACTGAATGTTTTATACAAATCCATATTACAGTGAACCTTAAGCGCATAAATTCTGCGCAGTCAATATTTTTTGGAATACCACCCGTCGTCAAGCAATGCTGACTGTTGCTATGCTGGAGGGCGTGGCTTCATTATTCAGCGGGTAATAGTGTTTTTAAGAAATGTTTCTCGACGAGTCAGATTTAACTAATTTTCATAAAAGTATTATATATACAGTGTATATAAAGAAAATAAGTAACGTTATGTGCCTCTGCAGTGACAGTAAGGAAACTTCTTTGAAGAAAAATGCGGGGGTTGGGGTGGATTAAGAGGCGATATCTACAAAAAGACAAAAGAAATCAGCATAGGAATATACGACGATATGTTTCTTATCAGGACTTTTGCAACTTTAGGCGCTGAAGACAGCTGAAGACAGGTCATGAATTCCTCGTATAAAAGTGATAAGGAGGGGTCAAAAAAGTGGAACAGTGGTCAGCAATGAGGGAGATCGGATGTGCCCTGCTTCTGGTCACCTTAGTGGTCGCTTCTAAACAATTTTACCCTGAAGTCTCCATCACCGGAGAGTCAGGACTGAGGCTGGGACTTGCAGGTGGGTGTTTTCTTTTTTTTTTTTTTTTTTTTTTGCCATATTTAGTATAATATAAAATGAGTATCTTGCGTGAATGGTATTAAAAACAATGCTCCTTTCTTATATTATTCTTTTGTATTAAACAACAAGTCGTCGGTAATTAAGAATAATGTAAATTTAATACATAAAAAAGGAAAAAAGATAGAGAATCTCATGTTTCTTGTTCCACTCTGCGTTATATAGCGTTGATAATTGTATAAGATAGCACCTCTTACATTATATCTACAAAAAAGGAGAAAAGAAAAATATATCTTGAAATATTAAGGATATAAATAACACAAAACATGGCAAACCATGCAAAATTTCAATGCATGAATTGATAGTTGAAGTTAAAAATATTTTAAAATTGTAACTGATTTTGAATGTGAAAAATAAATTCCCGGAATATAGAGAGAGAAATCGTAGATTTTAAATCGTTGATTTTCTTTGGGGTTCAAAAATGTGATTTTGTGCCATTTTCTATGTCAATCTATACAAATTTATGACATTATTACAAGATCTTTCTTTCTCAGATAAAAATTATAGGAACATAAATCAATTACAAATTGTTGATTTCTTTGAAAAAAAAAGTTTGTTTGTGTTATGCATTTTATTATTAATATATCTTTCGTGAAAACTGAATTAAAAAAAACAACTTATCTTCATTTTACAGATGAAAATGGTATATCCCATGTAATCTATGCAGTCCGCACTGAGAATGGAGAAAAGACATTTAGAGTCGAATCCAAAAATGGTAGGAGGCATTTTGATTTTCAATCTTTTGCATTTCTGTGACCTGACATAATTCATTTTGCAATATAGCATTCCACAAAGCTAGTCATGATGAATTTCACATTTTTTGTTTGACAAAATAAAACATACATCTGAAACAAATTACATGGTGAGAAAAGACACCAGTAAATAATGTGGATTTTAACCTACTCTAGATTTTCAATGCTTTTACGAGAAATTACCAATATTAAAATGAAGTGTGATATACGAATATAGAATATTTTAACAATCCATTCTCTGTTAATGTAAATAGATGATGATCTTTGGGAATACGTGGATCTTGATGCAAACGCTCAAATTGGGGACCTCGTAGAATACAAAATTTCTGTTTTAAATCACAATGAATGGATCGACTCCACTTGGAACAAAGGTGGGGCTTTTTTTTTTTAATTGAAATCTCATTACTTGATTTTTATAGGATGCAATTTTTTGAAACTTTAGAGTAAAACAATGGGGTTTTTTTCCCCATTCTTAATGGTGAAAGTAAAAGAAAAAAGTATTGGACAACAGGCATGGATGTCTTAAGCAAAATTAAGCGAAGAGGAAAGCTATTATCAAACTCCTCTACATTTCTAAGACTTTTAAAATTTTTTCCCTTTATTTCGTATAGTGATTCTCGTACCAAGAGATTTTATGATGCCCAAAAAGAGCAGGAGGTCCTACACCGTATTCAGGGACGACTTCAACTCCTTCAACAAAGCCTCTTACACAACAGAAGTCAGTTCATGGGGAGGCGGGGTAAGCTATCAAACGTGATATAATAACAAAAACTCGAGGAAATATACAATTTATTCATTTATTTCTTTAATATTTAAAAATCATTTATTCATTTAATCATTTTCGGAAGTTGGGGTTGGGTTACTAGTACATAAGAATTTTTAAAGAATGTTATGTTTATTTATTTATTTATTTTTGTCACAAATATACCGTAACGCTTTCGTAAGGTAAATATTACTGTCAATTGGGTTACTTCAGAATGGCGAGTTCCAGGTTTACACACCGGAGCATAGCAACTTGCATGCAGCCAATGGATACTTGTACTTGAAACCGGTAAACCAAAAATGATCACAGTCAAAGTATTTACACTTACATTTAGAATATGGGAAAAGGAAGAAAGTCTTTTATATATGCATATAATTATGATGTTCATAACCAATATTCCAAACACATCGAAAAAAAAATTAAAAGATGTTTGAATACTTGTAGACACTTACCGTCGACCATCCATCTTTTGATAATGGCAAACTTTACAACGGAAGAATGGTCTGTAGAGGTGAGCTGTCTTGCACCGAAAGCATTGATATACATGTATATATATATATATTGTCTTAAAGGTGCTTAGACACAGATTTGAAGTTAAAATTTTCACAAATTTTCTGTATAATATCACGACTTATATATTGCAATAGCATTTCACACGAAAATAGATTTAAAAACTTATTTTATCTGGAAATTATTGGAACTACGAATTCCTGGAAGCGTTTGATTACACATCCTTGCACTTTCACAAATTTTATCTTTATCCTTAATATTTAAGAAAAGAAGCGATTTTGTTGTGTATTAATGAAAAACATTACATCTATAATCCAGAAAATTCAGAGTAGAAATGTGCAAAAGCAAACCCCCTCACTAATATCGTCAGTCCGTGCTCAGTGTTGTGTACAGAGTTTAACAAATTGAATACACCCGTGAAACGTAAACTGTTTTTGTAAACACCTGCACGAGCTCTGTTATTGTTAATGTTTACGATTCACCGGGTGTGTTCACTTGTTAAAGTCTGCACACACCACTGAGCATGGACTGACAATACTGTGAGTGGGTTTTGCTTTCGAACATTTCTACTCTGAATTTTCTGGATTATAGTTTTAATATTTTTCATTAATACACAACAAAATTGCCAGTTTTCTTAAATATTAAGAATAAAATTAAAATTTGTGAAAGTGCAAGGATGTGTCAATCAAACGCGTCCAGAAATTTGAAGTTTCAATAACTTTGAGATGAAATAAGATTTTTATTATATTTTAGTATGAAATGCTATAGTAACATATAAGTCATGAAATTATACAGAAAATTTGAGAAAATATTAACTTCAAATCTGTGTCCAAGCACCTTTAAAATATCTCATATGATTCTAAAAAGAAAAACTTAGCATTTTTGTCTATTTTCAAGAAATATTTGTTTAGATTTGTGGGGAACCTGTACAAATGGAGCAAACTGGGGCTGTGACAGAACAGCATTTGGGCAGGAAATTCTCCCGCCAATTATGTCAGGAAAATTGACGTCACATGCTGCAATCAAATATGGGCGTGTCAATGTTCGCGCTAGAATTCCTAAAGGAGATTGGATTTGGCCAGGTTTCGTTCAAAACTCTTAAAATACAATTTGAAATTTACTATAGCCGATTTAATGGAGATTCAAATTATTGTTTTCTTTTTTGAATAGCTATCTGGATGCTGCCCCGTGATAATCATTACGGAGGGTGGCCAAGATCTGGTGAAATTGATATGATGGAATCTAAAGGTAAACATGTTCCAGAGAGAGTCAGAATCTCTCTGTAATACTTATGTTTCAGTGGAAGAAAACTGCATTCAAGATGACAGATGATATTTAGATAAATTTTACATTATGTACAGTTAATTATTAAATATACATGTATACAGTACATAATATTGCAGCAGCATATTGTTAACTAAATTTCCAGAAAGATTGTAAATGAAATAGCTTGCAATTCTTTTATATGTTAAAGATTACGGCGAAATAAAAGCAAATTTAAAATTTAAAAGATATTTTTGTACATAGGAAATTTGAGAGTAATGGAGGGTGGATCTAACCATGGTGTAAGCTATATTGCCTCAACTTTACACTGGGGTCCAGACTATCAACACAATGCCTATTATCTCACACACAAGGGAAAGTAAGGAACACTTTGTAATTATCAGCAAATACGAAAGAGACAAGTACCACAATTGATTTGACAGCAGTTGATTTCTTTTTTTCTACATAAACGCTAACTGATTAAAGAAAATCATATCATTGCTATTGGATATGAAAACACATTCTTTCCACAAAACAAAACAACCGCAGAATATTTTTTGAGTATATAATTGTTCAACAATTTCATTTTACCTAAGCTTCTCAGCAAGTTATTTATCAAATTCAGTGCTGAAAATAATATGTTTTAGAGTAAAAATGATCATGAATAGGCTTCTTCCAAAGCAACAAAATAAAGATTGAGAAGTGCCTAAATTTTCAGACACTCTAACGGAGGAGACTGGCATGGCTGGCATACCTATTCTCTGGAGTGGACAGATCGTCACATTATGTAAGTACATGTTTTGCAAATGTTAGACAGCTTCCCATCAATAATGAGATAGAAAAAGGTTAAAAATGACCTTCTACAAATGAATTCAACATGTATGACTAAAATCAACATTTTAGTTCATAATTATTAACATGAAAAAGATATATTAAAAAATATGGAATTCAATTAAGAATTAAGGAATTCAATCGCTTTTCTGTTGAATTTCAAACATAGTTTAGGAGAGCTAAACATTTCTGAAAAAATACATCTAAGATCTAAAACAAAAATCTAAGATTGGGGAATAGAAGACGAAAGTAAATTCCCGTACACCTTGCAGCACATATGTTGATAACCAGGAAATCATGCACATTACCACTCCATCCCAAGGATTCTGGAACTGGGCACATTTCTCCGGGCACAACATCTGGGGAAACTCACATAATGCACCCTTTGATCAACCTGTATGTGTATCAAATTACTCAATCCCTTGCATTTATTATGAATTTCAAAATCTTTTAGTATTTATAATGCAATTAATTACTTAGAGGAAAACGTAATATATTTAATAAAAATTTAACATTTTTAAGAGAATTTAAAGGAAACTTTAAATATTGTTTTTAGTTCCATCTTCTCCTCAATGTGGCCGTAGGAGGTGGTTATTTTGGTGACAACGCCCAGTATAACACACCCAAACCTTGGCATGGAGGTTCCTCTCACCCAATGAGGGACTTCTGGGAACACAGGGGTAACTGGTTACCCACTTGGCACGGTGACGACGTGGCTATGTTGATTGATTATGTAGAAATGATTCAGTATTAGTGATTTTGATCCGTAATGACTTGAATGACATTTATTTCTATGAAATATAAAAATAAATCCATACAAAGCTTGAATATTCGTTTATTACAAGACTTGTGTTAAGTGTTATAAAATCGTGTACGTATAGAGTAACATAAATACGCGTACAGCTTTTTTGTCCCCTGCTTTTGCGAAAGCGAGGGGACATTAAATCTTATTAGTCTGTCTGTTTGTCAAATCACTTTAACCTTGGTCATAATTTTTGAATGACAAGAGGCCCATGGGCCACATCGCTCACCTGAGCACATTGGCTAGGAAAAAAAGCAAAAATCAGTTCAGTATTGCAAAGTTTATGGGGGGGTGGGGGGTGGGGGTTGAATTTTAAACTACCTAATGATGCTTTCATATCAATATAACAAATGGCTTTGCTGTTCTTGAGCAGCAGATTTTTTCCCAATATATTCGTTTGTAAAACTTTGATCCCCCATTGTGGCCCTACCCTACCCCCGGGGGTCATGATTTGAACAAACTTGAATCTACACTACCTGAGGATGCTTGCAAATAGATATGACCAATCATGACTTTGCTGTTCTTAAGAAGATTTTTTAAGATCTTTTCCTATATATTTCTATGTAAAACTTTGATCCCCCATTGTGGCCCCACCCTACCCCCGGGGGTCATGATTTGAACAAACTTGAATCTACACTACCTGAGGATGTTTCCAAATAAATATGACCAATCATGGCTTTGCTGTTCTTAAGAAGAAGATTTTTAAAGATCTTTTCCTATATATTTCTATGTAAAACTTTGATCCCCCATTGTGGCCCCACCCTACCCCTGGGGGTCATGATTTGAACAAACTTGAATCTACACTACCTGAGGATGCTTCCATATAAATATGACCAATCATGGCTTTGCTGTTCTTAAGAAGAAGATTTTTAAAGATATTTTCCTATATATTTCTATGTAAAACTTTGATCCCTCATTGTGGCCCCACCCTACCCCCGGGGGTCATGATTTGAACAAACTTGAATCTACACTACCTGAGGATGCTTGCAAATAAATATGACCAATCATGACTTTGCTGTTCTTAAGAAGATTTTTTAAGATCTTTTCCTATATATTTCTATGTAAAACTTTGATCCCCCATTGTGGCCCCACCCTACCCCGGGGGTCATGATTTGAACAAACTTGAATCTACACTACCTGAGGATGTTTCCAAATAAATATGACCAATCATGGCTTTGCTGTTCTTAAGAAGAAGATTTTTAAAGATCTTTTCCTATATATTTCTATGTAAAACTTTGATCCCCCATTGTGGCCCCACCCTACCCCTGGGGGTCATGATTTGAACAAACTTGAATCTACACTACCTGAGGATGCTTCTCTATAAAAATGACCAATCATGGCTTTGCTGTTCTTAAGAAGAAGATTTTTTAAAGATATTTTCCTATATATTTCTATGTAAAACTTTGATCCCCCATTGTGGCCCCACCCTACCCCCGGGGGTCATGATTTGAACAAACTTGAATCTACACTACCTGAGGATGCTTCCATATAAATATGACCAATCATGGCTTTGCTGTTCTTAAGAAGAAGATTTTTAAAGATCTTTTCCTATACATTTCTATGTAAAACTTTGATCCCCCATTGTGGCCCCACCCTACCCCCGGGGGTCATGATTTGAACAAACTTGAATCTACACTACCTGAGGATGTTTCCAAATAAGTTTCATCTTTCCTGGCCCAGTGGTTCTTGAGAAGAAGATTTTTAAATGATGCCACTATTTTTTCAGTAATTCCTAATTATCTCCCCTTGAAAGAGGGCATGGCCCCTCATTTGAACAAACTTGAATCCCCTTTACCCAAGGATGCTTCATGGCAAGTTTGGTTGAAATTGGCCCAGTGGTTCTGGAGAAGAAGTCAAAAATGTGAAAAGTTTACAGACGGACGGACAGACAGACAGACAGACGGACAGACGGACAGACGGACGACGGACAAAAAGTGATCAGAAAAGCTCACTTGAGCTTTCAGCTCAGGTGAGCTAAAAAGAGATAGGACTTTCATATTTCGCATTACCTGTGACAAGATCTTTCCAAATATATATGATTTTTGACCCCGTGGCGTTGAAGTCTGAACCAACTCATAAAAAATTTTAACATTACTTTAAAATTGTCATAACTTTTGAATGAGAAAAGATAGGGCTTTTATATTACACCTGTATATTACCTTTGGCAGGACCTTTCCAAATATACTATGTTTTTTTTATTCTGTGACCTTGAAGTTTGGCCTATTTTTCGAAAAAAAATTATCTTTGCTAATAACGTTTGATTGAGAAGAGATAGGACTTTCATATTTGACTTGTGCATTACCTGTGATAAGAACTTTCCAAATATACTATGATTGACCTCGACCTTGATGTTTGATCTACCTTTCAAAAATTATAACATTTATTTACTTTAAATTGGTCATAAAATTTGAATGAAAAACGATAGGGCTTTCATATTACATATGTACATTACCCGTGACAAGACCTTTCCAATTATACTATGGTTTTTGACCCTGTGACAGACTTGAAGTTTGACCCAATTTTCAAAATTTTTATCTTTGCTTATAACTGATTGAGAATAGACAGGACTTTCATATTTAACATGTTCATTACCTGTGACAAGTGTTTCCTAGCATGCTATGATTTTTGACCCCTTGACCTTCATGTGTGATCTAATTTAAAAAAAAATCAACTTTGTTTATTACTTTCGAATGACATATGATAGGGCGTTCATATTTGACAAGTGAATTACCTGTGTCAAGATGTTTCTGAATGTGCTGTGATATTTACCCCTTGACTTTGACCTTCAAGTATGACCTAATTTTCCAACATTTCATCAGTGTTGCTTACTTTTGAAGGAGAGAAGAAAGGGCATTAAAATTTAATACGTGCATTACCTGTGACAAGCATTTCTACTATGATTTTTAACCCCATGACTTTGAAGTTCGACCTAATTTTCAAAAGAATTAACATTGTTCCATGATAACATTACATTTGGCATGTGCATTACCTGTTTCAAGAACTGTATATCAATATATATTTTGATTTTTTTTTCACACGTACATTAAATGTGACAAGAACTTAGGGATTTTATTATGATATTTGACCCCATGATCTTGATCTTAAAGTTTGATGTAGTTTTGAGAAGCTATAATCTTTACCATAAGTGTTATTAATTCAGTAATGTATGTACTTATTTGTATAATGCACAGACAAATCAGGACACACAAACAAGACTTTAACAATATGCCATAAATAATGGCATTCTGTCCACTAAGACACCAAAAGCGGGGGACCACAATTCTTTGAATTTGCTTGTTCCCCCCTAAATGAGTTAGAGAGATCAAACGTTGAATTAAATGGCAAGCATTCATGTATACCAGTAGTTGATTTAAAAAAGAGCGCCTTCAATAATGAATCACAAGAATCATATAGTTTTTGTTTTCAAATACACCAGAGTAAAACATTGTTATTTGCAAAGAACCTTATCTGTATGCACATATACATATATACTATATACCCTCAACAATTGTAGTAAATTTTATTACATGAGATCGATAGATCATTTTGTTTTTTAAACAATACACATACTTCGCCAACAAAATCTTGAATCAATGACATTTTTGCTTCTATTGTACTGTCACAAAGTTCTTCCTTCATGGCGAATTTTCAATATACTTACATGTACCTTAATCACATATATACAAAAAAAGCTATGGTTTTTATCAGAGGGACTGGCATAACCATTCTGTCTTATCTGTGAATTATAAGTGACTTAGTCATAATCATAAATGTGTCACGTCTAGATGTACACTGTAGTAGGTGTACAGTATGCTTGTTATGAGATTATTGACCGGAACACTGAGTGCAAAAGTAGAAAAATTTGTCTTTTTTAATTATTTATAAAGGCGATAGAAATTATACTTGAAAAAACAATTATTTTTTTCCATTACCATTTTATTGGTATTCATGCAAATTATATGCCTACCAAATCGTCCTCAAACTTAAATCGATACAAACTCGGATAAAGAACGTTTCTTTCATACTATACTGTTTTTTTGATATTTTACACCTTGCAACTTTCTTTAAAAATTCCAAAGAAGCGGCATACGTGTTTATATTTTGTGATATAAATAAAATACATATAGTTTATGTTATATCTTATTTGAATACATAACTATTACAGCTTATTCGTGACGTTTTCATTTTTTCACTGGTATTAATGTATTATGGACAAATTTAAGCATACAAGTTAATAAACATATAAAGTTGTTTAGATGAACATTTTTTTTAAAAAAATGCCCCAGCTTAAAATAAGCATATGACAGTTTCGATGAACCACGTTTGAAAATATATAGACTTTCCATTGGAATTAACCTACCTCTGTTTCAGATCCTTTCATATCGTTTTCAGACTAGTCTCTAATTTCATTGTTTGAGACTGATGGTGCTCTACAAAGCAAGAATCTGATAACGTTATGCACAAAGTATCTTCTGGGCCATACATTATTCCATTCGAAACTTTATATTTTACAAAAAATAGGAAAATAAAGATTTTTTCCAGAGCCATTTAGAGTATGTCTTAAATATATTTTAGGTCCTATCCAAAACCCCACATATTTTGAATTTAAAATAAAGATACCAATTTTGAACACATGTACCATCTTCACATTTCTCATTTTGAATGTACTGAAGATGACGTTTGGTTCATGAGGTGCTGTGTTCTTGTTAGCCAATGATATGTTTTTATACGTCTATATCTGTAAAATGGCAAATTTGCTGTCCGGTATTGTATTATCATTTATCGATGGATACCTTCATTGCCCGACTTCTGCATATCTAGTTCATTTCATTAAATACAGAGAAAAGGTATTCATTATAATATCGAACTTGACACATTCTTGTTAAATAACGTATTTATATGAAAAGATAGACAAATAAGGTCAGATAAGGTCGCTTCTTTCTGTCTATATAAATGAACACGTTCGTCTAAAGGAGACCGTAGAAATCAAACATGCGGTGTGCGGTTTGCCTGTTGTTTCTAGTTTCTGTTGTTGTGACCTCTAAATCTTTCTACCCAGAAGTCACCATAACAGGGGAGTCTGGGTTAAGATTAGGACTCGTTGGTAAGTAGAGCAAAACGGACAATTATATATTTTTTATGAATTTACAAAATTTTGCAATTATTGCTTGCAACAGCATCAGGAAAACCATGTCTCCTTTGCTTTCAAGGCTCCTTAGTTCCAGTCTGATGGACTGAACTATGTTGGCACAAAGAATAAAAAAAAATCGCTGATCTCCAAGTGAACAACTTCAATAAGTTCATTTTCTTATATATATTTTTTTTTCTTAAAAAAAAATAATTATACTCCAAGATATGATTAAGACATCGGCCATGGGTCATTTGATCGTTTTACATAGAAGTAGAACGTAGAAACACACAGACTTTGTTGGAGGCAAGAGTATTGTGTTAAGGCAATATGTGTATCAAAATAAGTCACATATAGTACAATATTTAGTTGGATATTTCAGAGCATAAAATTCAGATTTCGGACACTTTGATGGTAATCTTCAAAAGCAAACCGTAATTTAAGAAATTACCATTTTGCTATTTCTCAAAATTCAATATTTTTTTCTTTTGCACAATTGCACAAGAAAGCAGTCGTAGTCGAAAGAAGAGAATTACAAAATAAATCACTGTTTGATACTATAAATAATTTAAAAATTACTATAATCTTATTTACTACTGACGATTATATCTTACATTTATTTCCTTATCTTTATTGTGATTAACAATTCAAAATACCGTATACAAATATACAAATTTCAAGAATTAAGTAGTGAGAATGAACTTCACAATCATGAAAGTGTTAATTTAAGACATCTTAAGGTTTAGTAAGTCTTTCATATATATTTTGAAAACAGATTAGACTCTTGATACATTTCATACGTGTTATAATTACATCTATATAAAAGAACTATTGAGAATAATTTTGAGTAAGCTCATTTCAGTATAAGATTACGAGATTTCTCATGAACAGAAAATAATGTACGTTTTTTCCAGAAGTTTGAATCATAATTTTCTTTATGAGAAAAATCATAATACACAAAAGAGCAAATATTATAATGATAAAGGAATGAAAAGATAACCATATTTTAAAAGATTTATCAAACTTTTACTTTTAAGATGAGGATGGTATAAAGCATGTTATCTACACAGTCCGCTCAAGGAATGGAGAGAGAAAGTACGTCGTTGAGGCCAAAAACGGTAGGAATAACGATATAGTGCCCCTAAGTATTCCATCAATTTATTTTCCTTACAGTTAATAAAATATAGACACATTATATATTCTTCGTAAAATTGCTCACTTTCAACAGGAAAACTTTATTTATTTTTTTTTTAAATTTAAGATTCAACAGAACTTTTTTTAAAAGATTTTGTACATTTTGTATTGTAAGCATGCATTTAACATTTTTTTTGGAAATACAGAAATATTATATTTTATTTTAGATGACGATATATGGGAGTACGTAGACATTGACGCTGATGCCCAAACAGGTGACCTAGTAGAATACAAGACTTCGGTTCTCTACAACAGCGAATGGATTGACTCAGAGTGGACCAAAGGTATGTGCAGGATCTCAGCATACCAGCAATGTTAACTTATAAAATAACACTTTAAAATTTTATGTTCTCTTAACAATATATGGATTAGAAGAAGAAAATCTTTTTCTTGAACAAGGTTTTATATTGAAGGGATTTTAGATAGATCGAGGCTCTAAATTAAAAATGTTGACCAATTTTTTTTTTTTTTTTTTTTTTTTTTTTTTTTTTGCGATTCATGATTTTTTCAGGCAAATGTATGAACGAACCATCAAACCAATAAAGCAATAAATATTTAGAAAATAAGCTGACTTAAAGTTAATATGTGATTTTTTCACTGAAAGTGGGGAATTTAATTTGGGTCTGTCCGTCCGCCCGGCCGTCTGTCTAGCTCTCCGTCTGTGATTCTGTCTGTGTATAACCTTTTAATCATAAGCCTTTGAGTTTTTGCAATGCAATTTTATACCACAATTCCCTATGGTCTATAGAAGACTCATATTGATTTTGAGGTCAACGGAAATTTTTATATCACAATTCCGTATGGCCCTAAAAAGATCTCTATTGATTATGAGTTCAAAAGGTCAAGGTCAGAATTACATACGTTCTTCTGTTCGTGTGTAAGACTTTCACTTCCAGAAAATATCTTTTATAAAGCCTTTAGGCTTTTGCAATGAATTTTTATATCACAATTCCCTTTGACATTCATGTGATCTCATTTTAAGGACAAAAGGTCAAAGATCTATGTCAGAAATATATATTGCATACATAGTTGTAAGATGAAAGTTTTAGTTTTTCTGTAAGATTTTGCAATGAAACTTTATGTTTTGAATTCCTTTAATTTTAAAAAGACTCATATTAACTTTAAGGCAAAAAAGCTGAAATTTCAAAGTTGACCTTTTTCTTTCTCTATTTACATATTTTTTCGAGTTACACCTTCTTTATTTTCCTCAACCGGGGTACACAAATTCTATGAATTAGCTTGTTTATTATTTGTTATTTGTTTTCCAGTTTCTCTGGTACCACGGGGACTTATGGTACCCCGAAAAGGAAGAAGATCATACACAGTGTTCAGGGACGATTTCAACTCTTTTGATAAAAGTCATTACACTATTGATGTCACTGCGTGGGGAGGGGGTGTAAGTTGTTGTTACTTTTTATATACTATCTCTCAGAACTAGAGTTTACTGATCATTTGAAAATTAATAATGAAAACGAAGTATCGATATTAACTGTGAAAAAGATTTATTAAAGATACACACTGTATTCGACAATATTTACAGTTTTTTGAAATGAAATGATGGGGTTATTTTTCTTTTTCAGAATGGAGAGTTCCAAGTTTATACACCAGAACACAATAACTTATACGCTTCAAATGGATATTTATACATGAAACCAGTATTGACTTTCTCTTAATTCATTTCAACATCAATATTTTTTTTAGAATCAAACTGAAAAAGTAAGAAAATAAGTATTAACTAACAAATAAAAACATTTTCCTTTAATAGACACTTACAGTAGACCATCCTTCTTTTGATAACGGTAAACTCTACAATGGCCGTATGGACCTAAATAGTATGTTTTCTTTGTATGCTAATTGAAAACTAAAATTGCTATCGCCATTTTCAAAACTCATAGATCTCATATAGTATTTAGAGGTTTCAACGTCTTAAGTTCAACATTATAAAGAAAATACTAGTATACAGAATCAAGATTTTGAGAAATTGAAAATTTCGTAACTTGTGGATTGTTAATGGGAAGTCTTTAAGTAATAAATCCCCCCCCCCAAAAAAAAAATCAATATGTTATTTCCATTGAACACCTTCTAGAAGTCAGTTTACTGTCTATTCAGGCATGTATCATACCTGTACTAATGGAGCAAATTCCGGCTGTTCTAAGTCAGCTTATGGACACGAGATTCTCCCTCCTGTAATGTCAGGCAAAATTACCTCTCATGCTTGCCTTACATATGGGCGTGTCAATGTACGTGCTCGTATTCCAAAAGGAGATTGGCTTTGGCCAGGTAACAAGAGCAAACATTTTTAACAGGTTTATTAATTCACTTGTTCTTCTTTGTTTTTCATATTTAAATTAAGTGAGCATTAATGTTGAATTACTTATTTTATATTTTTTTTATTTCTTGTGAGGAATTTAATTTTTGATATCTTTATTTAATATCATTATTATCGTATTTAGCAATTTGGTTACTGTCCTGTCATAAGCATTATGGAAGTTGGCCAAGATCTGGTGAAATTGACATCATGGAATCAAGGGGTATACATGTAGATTTTATCTGTAACTGACATTTTTTTTTTCAAAATTAAAGATCGACCTTTCTCATATTGTTTCATGATATATTTTTAATAGGAAACCTAAGAGCAGAGGAACATGGCTCTAACCATGGTGTTAGTTATGTAGCATCCACTCTGCACTGGGGCCCTGATGCAGCACATAATGCTTATTACCTAACCCATAAAGGAAAGTAAGGCGTAATGTTTTATACATCCAATTTTACATATGCAGGCGTTTTGATTATTTTTTTCATTAATCAAACACGTAAGATTAAAACTGCTGATTAAATTTATTAATATTTTTCAGACATGCTCCTAGTGGAGATTGGCACGGATGGCATACCTACTCACTGGAATGGACAGACCACCATATTATGTGAGTACATCATTTAAAAAGTAGTACATACATGCACACAGAAAATTTATTAATCTTTTTGTTAAATTTTCGTAAACTATGAAATACAGATGCATTTTTTTTTCTTTGTAGAACATATGTTGATAATCAGGAAATCATGCATATTACCACTCCTAGCCAAGGTTTCTGGAATTGGGCACATTTCCATGGCAATAACATCTGGGGTAGTCATCATAATGCCCCGTTTGATCATTCTGTATGTAAAATTTATATAACATTTCCTTTTAACACAATCATAGGATAGAATACTATGCTGAGATGCTTTGTCGGAGAACTGTTGTTCACGAATTTATGTGAATTATTTGCATAAGGGAGGAAAAGAGTTATACAATGCGTTTTTATAGCAACATTTGTACATATCAATTAACTCTGTTCAGCAAAATGTCAAAATAGCCCATACTATACCTGCTAGAAAACACCAACTGATTTAAAATAGTTTTGCAATTGAAACAAGAAATGTTCTGGGAAAGGACGGTATAGGAAATTTCAATGTATTTGACAGTCAGGTGAACTACCCTTGATTTACATGTAAATGACCTATACGATTAAGAAAGCAGTGTATATATATATATATATATAATCTTTTTCTCTCTATATTTTTTTTCTTTTTTTTTTAGTTCCATCTTATTTTAAATGTTGCTGTTGGCGGAGGATTCTTCAGTGATAGTGCCCATTATAACACACCCAAACCCTGGCACAGAAGCTCGCCACATCCCAAGAAGGACTTCTGGGAAAAAAGGGGAGACTGGTTACCCACATGGCACGGAGACGACGTGGCTATGTTGATTGATTATGTAGAAATGATTCAGTATTAAAATATATCATTGTTGTATACCATAATGCATTGTTTAATGTGTCTACAATTAAAACTCTGGGAGAAATATTTTGAATACTATTACAGTAGGTGGAATAAAAGTTTGAAAAATGTCAGTGACCCCTGGGTCGAGGCCTCTGCTGGTGGACTGTTCGTCCTCGAGAGTTACCTGGTACTCGATACTAGCTTGAAAATACGGGATATATATTTAATTGCTGTGGTAAAATTTAGAAAATTATTTCAAAATTAAGGATTATCTCCCTCATGCATAGCTCTGATCCTTCGACGTATTTAGCTCCAGTCTTTGGCACCTTTTTTCAGCTCTTCCAAGTCTTTTTTATTTAAATATTTTGGATTTCCGACGTTTCGGCTTGAGCATCACTGAAGAGACATAATTTGTCGAAATACGCATCTGGTGCATAAAAATTGGTACCGTATATGATTTATATTACTTGTCTATATTCGTGTAGAAATGCTTGGGATAATTGGAAGGAAAATGAAAATATATTTGTATGAGATATTAGTCCTGTGATGTTAAAGATTGACCATTTATTAGTTGTCAAATCCTAAGTGTGTCAACCTTTAGCAATCAATCACTCATCACTTTGTCTTGCCTAACTATTTTTCCAAATTTTTTTTTGGGGGGTTGTTCGTTTGTTATCGGATTTTTTATTGTTTCATTTATACATTATGCTCAGAGCATTATTTGCAGTAAGCATAGTGTCATATTTTGATTTTCATCGTTTTGCTTGTCATAATGACCTATAAGTTTTCAGAGAAATGAATGTTTAAACATTTTACATAAATGTATTTACAATAATTATGTGAAATGATGATTTCTGACAATCTGTTGGAAATTTTATGGGTACTAATTTGTCCCGTTATAAGCATTGCTGGTTTTGTATTTTTATGAATCGGGCTTTATTCAAAAATTTCTCCATGCTGTGGTCTTCAATTCGACATTTAGATATATATATCGACAACGTTTTATCAATTAACTACATGTATATTGATTTTTAGCTCACCTCAACAAAGTTGGGGGACTTATGTAATACCCTCGGCGTCGGCGTCCCAGGTTAAGGGTTTTGGAGCAGTTTTCTTTTCAAGTACTTCTATGGCCTATATTAGTCAGAGATGCATGGAAGATGCTTCTAGTGTGTTTCATTGTACCTGTCAAGGTTTCAGATGCTGCAATTTCAGCTAAAGAATGACCAGGTTAATGTTTTTGGAGCAGGTTAAAAGTTTTTGGAGCAGGTCTCATTTCCAAGTAATTATAAGCCCTATATTGACCAAACTTGCATGGGTGATACATCTAAGGATGCACACTACTGGCCTTGCTTCGGATGCTGGATCTGACTTATATTTTCCGGATGAGTGACCTGGTTAAAGTTTTTGGAGCAGATCTCATTTCCAAGTAACTATAAGTCATGTATTGACTAAACTTGTATGGATGATACATCTAAGGATTCACACTACTGGACTTGCTTCGGATGCTGAATCTGACCTACATTTTCCGGATGAGTGAGCAGGTTAAAGTTTTTGGAGCAGATGTCTTTTCCAAGTATCTTTAAACGCTATATTGACCAAACGTGCATGATTGATAACCTAAGGATTCACACTACTGGACTTGCTTCGGATGCTGGATCTGACCTACATTTTACGGATGAGTAACCAGGTTAATGTTTTTGGAGCAGATCTCATTTCCAAGTAACTATAAGGCCTATCTGAACCAAACTTGCATGGATGATACATCAAGGGACGAACAATCTCATACTTGCTTCGGATGCTGGATTTGACTTACATTTTCTGGAAGAGTGACTAGTTTTATGTTTTCAGATAAGTTTATTCCCAAGTAACTGCAAGCCCTATCAGACCAAAATTGCATAAATGTTGCATCTAGGGATGCACAAGATTATTTGTTTAGTGTGGGACTTGCCTTACTTAAAGACAACATTCGTTGAGGTGAGCTCTGTAATCTCTGATTACCTATGTTTATTTCTACATTGATTCGATAAATCCCAATTAAATTGAAATAAAAAATACACAGTCTGACAAACCTGTTTCATATTTGAACGTTTTCCTAGAAAAAGACATTGTTTTACTAATCAACAACTTCAGTTTTTGATAAACGTGGTGACTTTAACTTGTTTACTAAGCTCACAATCTGTATTGTTTGATTAGTGTTTTTGCATGAAATATGAAGATAACAGACAATAATTAAGCTTAATAGTCTACTGAAACAATACATATTGGGAGCAGAGCAAAAACAGACCTCTTAAAACATGAGAGGTGGGATCAGATGCCAATGGAAAATAATCTACTGTAATGTCATGTTCTAAATTTTGAATTTACTGGATGGGAGAAAATACAAAATTTAGAACATGACAACTAGTTGTCATGTTCTTAATTTTGTATTTCCTCCCACCCGGTGAATTCAAAATTTAGAACATGACATTAACAAGAAAAATTACGCTCTTAATTACGCTATAGTTTGCCTTTCTGGAGCAATTTTGCCAAGAGTTGCATGTTCATTTGGTTAAAGTGTCAAGATCAAAGAAAAGAAGTGAATAACTTATGTCAAAGCAACAAAAGTTTTAAAACGATCTTTAGTCTTAACAAGAGCTAGACATAAATGCTTTTTCTTCAGGTCTAATTTTCTTTGGATTCTATTTTATTTTTAAATTGTAAAACGTAAAAAACTGTTGGAGATACAAATTTAAGGAATGCAAGCGACCTTTACCAATTTATTGATGCAATGGCTAGGATAGATCATTTTTATTTCTCAAAGAGTATCAGTCAACTGATTTCAGGAAAAAAAAATATCGGTAGAATTGGGTTAATATATAGTATAAAAAGTCGAACGATAAAACACCAAGGTCATTGCCTCTAGTATAAATGATAAGAGGCACCTGCATAAATCGCAGAGAAGAACATGAAAGGTGCAGGTTTTCTCCTACTCTGGGCTGCTTTGGTGGCCTCAGCCAAGAACTTCTACCCCGAAGTCTCCATTACGGGAGAGTCGGGTCTTAGATTAGGAATTGTAGGTAAGTTTTTTAAGGAATCTATTTTGATTTAGTTTTGTGTAACAATTGTGCTTTGTTTATTGTATATATGAAATAAAAACATATAGATTCAATCACATTGGTTTTCAAAGTCTTAATTCATGCATTATTAAATATACATACACAGAAAAAAAGAAAAAAAAAACTAATGCCGAGATTCATCATTCTTTTTTTTTTTTTTTTACATGAGATCAATGCTGTAAGACAAAATCAGGGCTGTCTGATTACTAGCATAGCAATCAAACAGCAGAGTTTTTACAAAATTACATGTAATATGATTTTGAGTTAAAAGTCAGGACATGTACCTCATTTCACATAGTTGAGTACTAACAAGAAGAATATAGATTTGTTTTTAAGGAGAGAAAAAGATTACTTACTCTTGGTAGTAGATAGAGCAAGCGGAAAGGTTTTAAAGCTTTATAAGTAAGAAGTGCAATATTTTTTTTTTAAATCATTTCAATTTTGTTTATTCAGATGAAGATGGCATAAGGAGGGTTCTCTATACAGTACGCTCAGAGAATGAAGAGAGGACATATGAAGTTACATCTAAAAATGGCAAGAATCAGAAATTCTTAATCAATGTTGAATTTTATCTGTATGACAATGCCTGCTTTCAGTGCTTTCTGTTGTAAAAATTGTATCTTTAAACACAGATGACGACATTTGGGAGTACGTGGATCATGACGCTAATGCTCAGATAGGCGATTTGGTAGAATATAAAACATTTGTTGAGTACGGAGAGCAATAGATAGAATCCAAATGGAATAAAGGTTTGGGGAATTTTATATAAAGGTTCGAAGTCTAAGAAATCATATAGTATTTGATTGTTTCAGATAATGCAATTGACTTCACAGATACTAGTTACCTGCATGCAGTCACGAATTTTATGACAGTTTTGACAGAATGATAAGAATTAAGTTGTAAAATTGTAATAAATTTCAATTACTGCAAAGAATATGTACATGTATGAAATATATGAAGATAACGAACAGTATTCAAGTTCAAATGCCCATTTAAACAATACAAATGAGGAGCAGAGAAAATTCTAAACCATATGAGGTGGGATCTTGGAGGAGTGAGCATCCCCTGTTCACATTCTTCCTGCTGGTATAATTTGAAGAGAAATGACAATTTTGGATCATTTCAGTTGTCCTTGTTCCAAGGGGACTTATCATGCCCAGGAAAAGTAAGCGGTCGTACACAGTTTTCAGAGACGATTTCAACTCATTTAACAGGGGTTCCTACACTGTAGAAGTCAGCTCCTGGGGAGGAGGGGTAAATGGCTATAAACTTTTTTTTAGAATCATATGTATTCAATATTTATTGATGAACGGATTAATTTTTCTGTCCATTCTACTTTGAGTTGAAAGAGAGAGTATTTTCAAACATTTCATATAATGTATAGGGAGGGGGCGAATGACATACCCAGTCACAATATATGTATTTATTGAATAATATATGCTTAAAACAATTCCGTATTTCAATTACAATAAATTTAATCTTTTTTTAGAACGGAGAATTTCAGGTGTACACACCCGAGAATGTTTATGCAGCAAATGGATACCTTTATCTTAAACCGGTATGTTGTTCTTAGTCGGTAACTAGGGCAATTGACACATCGCTATCAATAATATTAATTTAAAAAAAAAGTCTTGAAATAAATAATATAGTTTTTCAAGGATCATTCATTTAAAAAAAGTTATGAATTTAAAATACATTTTAAATTCATAAAAAAGTATCCTGGACGCAAAATTTTGATTTATTGCAAGACTTTATACCTTAGAGACATAAGGCTTTTAAAATAACATACATGTATATCATTAACATTTTCATATGCTCTGGATTTATATCAAGCTGTTGTATTTTTAGACTTTAACTGTAGATCATCATGCTTTTGATGAGGGTAAACTTTACCATGGGCGAATGGACGTAAATAGTAAGTT